AGAGTGGTATTGAGCTCTGAAGGGTTAAAATATTTTAAAGTTTAAACTAAACTATAAATTGCGGCTGATCTCATCAGGAAAACAGCAATGTGTTTTTTTTGTTTCTTTCTCTTTTGCTTACATGTGGAAACCATCACCACAGTCCCCTTGGAAAGGGAAACCGACGCTGCTTTCTCTAAATTTCTGGGAATCTGATGTGGCAAATTCGCCAATCAACCCCGTCATCATCATCATCATCATCATCATCATCATCATCACGATGTTGTATCTCTCTCTCTCTCTCTCGCGCGCGCGCGCGCTCCCACACGTACACACAAATCGCGGCCGCCTTTTTTTTTTTTTTTCTTCTCGCATCAGCGATCAGCGCACCGCACCGCACCTCACATAGGCATCGCAAGTATCGGACTCAATATCCAGTGCCACACGCCACTACCAGCAGGAATAACCTTTCTGTCTGAAAAACCACTGACCCAGAACTAGCCAGCAACTGATAATAGCTATATCGCTTTTACATCTCATCTCCGGCAGCCAGAACCGTGTTCACGAGAGAACATGCGGGGGCTGCTCCCGACCTGCAGGTGGGCGATACTGGCTAAGGTAGAGGACAGCCGGTAGCATCAGGGACCATGCCAACGGGACCGATCCCTGCGCGTCCCCTCCAGTGGTGGTCCCCCCCCCCCCTTACGAACATCAGCACAAAATGAACTCAATCAACACCCTTCTTCACCCCCTAAAAGCTCACAACCACATACCTTCTATGCGACTTGATGACACCGCAGCACATCCAGCTGAACGGTGCAGCTGAACGGTGCAGCTGAACGGTGCAGCTGAAACGGTGCAGCTGAATGGTGCAGCTGAGCGGTGCGCACTCGTGCCATCCTCCATGCAGACATGACAAGTTCAGGTCACATCATCGCATCAAGGTAATGATGCTACTTTTGTTCTTTAAACTTCTTTAAACTTCTTTTGTCAAAGACCTGACCAAGCCGACTGTGGGCCATGCTGCTAACACCCTAGCTTCCGGAGGAGGTAGGCTACTACCGGTAGGCCGTCCGTATCTCCACCTTAGCTGCTGGAGTTCTTCAGCAGCAGAGCTACCTTCAAGTTCTTCCTCCGAGGACAACATCTACGGTCATTATAGCTGTATCTGGAGTATCCTTCAGTCTAAATACAGCTATAATAGCCGTGCGTTGTATTCGGGGGAAGGGAAGAAGGTAGGAAGCACAGCACCCAAGATAACCAGTGTAATCGCTACGAAACCTCGGGTACTATAGCCAGTGTCAAAATTTTGTGCAGTCAAAAATTAATAAATTATTGTTACTCCGGGGGGAATAGGAACCGGACTGATGCTCCCCAGAATGGAAAAGGAGCCAGGCCCATAAGGACCTGTTTTGTTAAAAATAACAATAATAATAATAATAATATTATAATAATAATAATAAATTATTGTTACAGTCTTCGCTGCTGCACCTTGTTATGTTCGTATAGCTTGCGATGCTCCCTGAGGTATGGAGTTCTGCTGACGAGTGGGCACTGCTGACGAGTGTACGCTTTGCACACACAGGCTAGCAGCTTTGCACGGTTTCTGTTAGCGGAGCCCCGAGTGGTTGGCGCAACATCCACATATCGATGCACGCCAGCCGACAGACTGACGACAAGTGGGGGCAACCGTGCCACTGCTTAATTTGCCTGCTCAATAACATCATACCTACCTACCTACCTACCTACCTACCTACGAAGGGTACATACTAAATACTTGTATTCGATGAACAATGAATTGCACAGTTATCAAGAGCACAGGATCTGAAGACTCATTTTATATATATATATATATATATATCGTCAAATAGAACTGCCCGGTAAACCGTAGGCAGAGAGGGAGAAGAGGACAACAAACGAGGGGCTGTGATATATATATATATCGTCAAATAGAACTGCCCGGTAAACCGTCGGCAGAGAGGGAGAAGAGGACAACAAACGAGGGGCTGTGACAAACTGTTTCGTCGGAGTTTCACCGACTCATCAGGAGGCTG